ACACACAAGACAAGCTTGCTGAATGATGATAATAGCACTTACATGAAAGTATCTAGTGACTATATATGTGTATATATATTATAGAAACCAAAAGGAGGATGAATGGAAGGCAGGAATGAAGGAAGGACAAGATGAAAGGAAGGAAAGATGAAGGAATATAGGAAGGAAGGTAGGAAAGGAATGCAGGTAAGAAAGGAATGCAGGAAGGTAAGAAGGAAGGTAGGAAACGAATGCAGGAAGGAAGAAATGATGACACATGACCATTTACCTAGGATAACTACATAACACAACTGCCTGCTAATACTTTGAAGAAAACTGCTCAGAGGAGGTGTTTTGTCTTTGCACATCAAAAAAAAAAGTCCACAAAAATGCACACACACTGGTTTTGTGTGTGAGGAGTGTAAAACACCATTGTGTATGAAAACATGTTTAACCCTTTCAGGGTCCAAGGCCCAAATCTGGAGTCACGCACCAGTGTCCAAGAATTTAAAAAAAAAAAAATTTGTTATTTTTTCTTGTGAAATCGTAGAGAATCTTTTTGTGAAGGTAATAAAACAAAAAGTACGAAATTTGGTGGAAAATTGACGAAATTATGCTCTCGCGAATTTTGATGTGTCAGCGATACTTACGAATCGGCGATTTTGCCAACTTTGACTCCCATTTTAGGCCAATTACATTATTCCAATCAACCAAATTCTTAGCTATTTCGCTAGTATTACTTCTATTCTATCGATTGAGCACAAGAAATCGCCAAGTCAACTGTTTCAACTACAAAATAAAGTGATCGGAAATTGTTAATTTGGCCAATTTAACACAAAGTTCAAAATATTCCAATTTCAAAATAGGGTCCAGAATGAACAATGTAGGCATTCCTGGCACTAAACTAACATTTCCTCTGTTCACTAGTTATGTTTTGAGGCTTTACAAATAAATTCCATTTTGATTTTTTATTCACATAATGAATTTTTATTCACACCAAAAAATAGAAGATTTACTGTTATGCAATACTGTAATAATTGTATAAATATCATCACCATATTTGTGAATGTATATTAGACCCACCAGCTGACGTGTATTAGATGTGTGAGGTCGTTTGTTTACTCTTGAACATCGGCAAAAATTTAACATTTCTGCTACTTTGAGCTCAGTTTCAAGCCATTTCCAGTGCTAAAACCAATCAAAATCATCTCTATTTCTGTAATATGTCTTCCATTCTATCAAATGAGACCAAGAAATCGCAAATACAACTATAAAAAACATACGAAAAAACACTGCAAAGTTGCTGTTTTAATCGAAAAATCATGATTTCATTTTTTTTTCTCTCATTATACACAGTGTGCTGCAGGATCTGTTTTATGTGGTGCACACATACCACATAGATGTATTCTCTCATATCTAGGTCCAAATGCACCACTCACAGTTTATCAGAGTGAGCTGAGCTCATGGCGTAGATCTACGGTTTGGACCCTGAACCTAAAGCCGTAGATCTACGGGACGGACCCTGAAAGGGTTAAAAGAGTTCCACAAGCTGCAGAACTTCTAGGAATATGTTCGGTGACTGTACATTGGTATATATATTATAGAACAATAGTAATAAAAAAAATTGTATTGTTTGCTTTTGTAAACAAGTTTTGTAAACAATATATGGATAATTATGTTTGTTTGCTTATTGTGTTGTATACAACGAGTGTATATGTGTACATTGCACCTTACTGTGGTCTCACAGGCCACTTAAGTTATGTGAAAAAATAAAATAGTGAAAAAAACAACCTTCAAATACAAGTAAACCAAAGTTTACCTGGTGAGTGGCAGTCGCTGCTGTTGCCATACACGGCTCATTTTCTGCAAACTTCACGCCTCTATATCTCGGTAAGTACTGATGGCAAAAAAAATTTTGGGGGACTAAAACATTCAGAAAAATAATCTTAACATTTTCATAAGAAAAAATAATTTTTTTTTTGAATATTTTGCAACATAGAATGACAGTTTCAGAAAGGGGCCTGTGACAGTCAAAGGGTTAAACACATGAGTAGTGGCCCAATTGGAAACATGGTTGACCACATGCTGGAGAGAAACTACAATGAGGCAACAGTCAGCACCTGCACAAGCTATAGCAAAGTCATCAACACAAAGAAATGGCCAAATATTGGATGGAAGAATAGATGCCAGATCATTTATAGCAAGGAGAAAAAGTGTTGTGCTCAGAACATCCCTGGGTGACACCTTCAGCTAGGACAAAGTCCGGGGAAAGCATATTATTAACCTGGACATGAAAATGCCTTTCAGTTAAGAAGTTCTTGAGGGAAAATGGGAGATTGCCTTGGTGGCCTAAGGAGTGGGCCTGTGCCAAGATATTATACCTCCAAGTTGTGTCAGATGCCTTCTCAAGGCCATAAAAGGTGGTGATAACCAAGTGGTTACTGGTAAAAGGATTATGAACTTTTGTATCCAGGCGTACTAAGGGGTAGAATGGCGCTTGCACATTTCATTAAAAAAAAAAAGCAAAGATGTAAACTAGACAGAGATGCTTCCTATACAGACGAAGGCAAAGATAAACAGAGCTGCTGACATAAAAAGGGAGGCACTGGTCAGTGAAACTGCTTGTATCAAACTAAAGCTGAAGGAATCTTACAGGAGACATGAATCGCAGGAAGAACTAAAAGCCCTAAAGGAAATTGAAAAAATACTTAGGCCAAATCCAGGCAAGATGGGACATACACAGATGGCAGCCAAGAAATGAGTGAGATACTAAAGCCCCAGTGCGACTCGGTGTTCAGCGACCTGCTGCCCATATTAAAGTATTTATTTATTAATTTGAACATGATACAGTGAAGTACAAAGTTATTACAGTGCAACATGCCAAAGCCCCTTGTATGCAGAGCATTATGAGCAGGCTTAAAATTAACTTAAGATTAACTAAACAATAATATATTCAGTGGTAAAAACATTATTGTAAACAGATAACAGTTTAGCACAAATGAGTATTACAAAGACAGGTCATATGGTCATTTACTGTGTTGCTAAGCATTCAATAGAATGGAGTATTCTGTTAGGTAATGTAATTAAAAAATAAAGTTTGATTGGATCACAGGTTAGACAATCTAAATAAATTCTTTATGAATGAGACCCAAAATTTGGTCATCTAAAATTTCTCAGATATTATCCTAACTCCACAAGACTTTGAAAAGGCAGTAAATGACATGCCCATGCACTCTGCCCCAGGCTCAGACTCATGGAACTGCATGTTCATCAAGAAGCCCCTGTCATGTGCCTTCAACATTCTATTGAGAGGGAGCATGGACACAGGGGTCATCCCACACTCTCTAAAAACAACAGACTTAGCCCCACTCTATGAAGGTGGCAGTAAAGCAATTGCAAAGAACTACAGTCTGATAGCACTAACATCCCATATAAAAATCTTTCAGAGGGTTCTAAGAAAGATCACCAACCACCTAGATGCCCATCAGTTACACAACCCAGGGCAACATGGGTTTAGAGTAGGTCGCTCCTGCCTGTCCCAGCTACTGGACCACTATGACAAGGTCTTGGATGCTGTAGAGGATAAACAAAATACAGATGTACACAGACTTTTCGAAAGCTTTTGACAAATGTGACCATGGTGTAATAGCGCACAAAATGCTTGATAAAGGAATAACAGGAAAAGCTGGTAGAGCTATAACTTCCTGACAAATAGAACACAAAGAGTAATAGCACACAGAGTAAAGTCCAAGGCAGCTATGGTGGAAAGCTCTGTTCCACAAGGCACAGTACTCGCTCCCATTCTATTCCTCACCCTCATATTGGACAGAGATGTGAGCCATAGCTCCGTATCTTCCTTTGCGGATGACATCTGGATTGCCATGGTAGTGACTTCCATCAAAGACACCGCAAGACTCCAAGCGAGCATCAACCAAATCTTCAAATGGGCCACTCAAAACAATGTGAAGCTCATTAAGGAGAAATTTCAACTACTCAGATGTGAAAAATTTGAGAAAAATAAAAATATATCAGTGTATACGACAAATTCTAACCATACAATAGAGCAAAAAAGTAATGTGAAGGATCTGGGAGTGATAATGTCAGAGGATCTCTCCTTCAAAGATCACAACAATGTTTCTACCGCATCTGCTAGGAAAATGATAGGATGGATAATGCAAACCTTCAAAACTAGGGATGCCAAGCTGATGATGATTCTCTTCAAATCACTTGTTTTCTCTAGGCTGGAATACTGCTGTACACTAACTTCCCCCTTCAAGGCTGGCAACATTGCTTACCTGGAGAGTGTACAAAAGAACTTTCACAGCACACCTAAGTATGATAAGGCACCTAAATTACTGGGAATGGTTGAAGGTTCTTGATCTGTATTCCCTGGAATGCAGGTGAGAGATAAATTATAATGTACACTTGGAAAATCCTAGAGGGATTAGTTCCAAACTTGCACACGAAAATCACTCCCTATGAAAGCAAATGACTTGGCAGGAAATGCAACATTCCCCCAGTGAAAAGCAGGGGTGCCACAAATACATTGAGAGACAACACAATAAGTGTCCAGGGCCCAAGACTGTTCATCTGCCTCCCAGCATGCATAAGGAGGATTGCCGGTAGACCCGTGGCTGTCTTGAAGAAGGCACTGGACAAGCACCTGAAGTCAGTACCTGACCAACCGAGCTGTGGTTCATACGTCAGTTTGCGTGCGGGCAGCAGTAACAGCCTGGTTGATCTGACCCTGATCTACCATGAGGCCTGGTCTCAGACCAAGCCATGGGGGCATTGCCCCCCAGAACCCTCTCCATGTAAACTCCAGGTGAAACTCCAGAGGTGTTGGGCTGAAAGTCTGGTGTGGCCAGTGTGGCCACACCAGACATGCTTGACTGAGGGTCTTTAAAAATATATGACTATTTTATATAATGAAACATGTGATAATAGTTTTTTTCTAGTTTAGTATGTTGTGTTGGTAATGGTGGAATAATGTACTATACTGTCTCATGTTTCTATTGCAGAAGTTTTTTGTGGAAGACTACCAGGTTGTGTCTTGCCAGACACTATATCTTCAGTACTTCAAGAAGCACCAGTGTAAGTGTCTTGAACAACAACTGATATTGCAGAAGTATTTTCTAGAATACTACCAGGCTGTATATTGCCAGATACTTTACCTTCAGTACTTCAAGAAGCACCAGTGTAAGTGTCCTGAACAACAACTGATATTGCAGAAGTTTTTTGTGGAAGACTACCAGGTTGTGTCTTGCCAGACACTATATCTTCAGTACTTCAAGAAGCACCAGTGTAAGTGTCTTGAACAACAACTGATATTGCAGAAGTTTTTTGTGGAAGACTACCAGGTTGTATATTGCCAGACACTATATCTTCAGTACTTCAAGGAGGGCAACACCAGTTATTCATGTTATTTTAACTAGCTAAGTATTAATAAATAATTTTGCTAATGATATTGTGGATTCTACGTAAAAATTGCATGTCACTTCATAGAAAATACAAGTTAGTAATACTGTATTTAAGAATTTTCAGAAAAATCTGTGTTTAAACACAAGAGAAAATAATAAAATTGTTCTTCAGTGTATCTTCAGTTTTAGTACATATATTAGTCTTTTAATAGAAAAAAACTAAATTATGTTAGTCTTTTAACACATGAAATAAACGTTGTTAATGCTCGTAAGTAGAAATAGTTTTGCCTAAAGCAAATGTTAAAATCAAAATACATTCATGTGGAAAACTGTGTTCAATATCCAAAATAGTTTACCAAATATAAATCTTAAAATACACTTGAGAGTACATAACAAAGATTAACGATACTACTGTTGAATGACTAAAATATTTTAATGTTAAATACCTTTTGTGAAGATTAGATTAGATTTTGCCACTGAAGTGGCTAGTTTATTGTGCACCCCATATCCATCCTGTGGACGGCAGTGCAAGAGCATATGGATACACAAAAGGCCTAGGAACTAGGCCCCAAAGGGTTAACAGGAATACATATGGATTTATATCTACATATCTACCTTTAGTGAAAAATATGAAAAAACGTGAAGGAGATAAACCATATCAGTGCTCAGAGTGTTTGAAATGTTTTACTCAAAAAGGCAGTCTTGTGATACATATGCGAGTACATACAGGAGAAAAACCATTTCAGTGTTCAGAGTGTCTGAAACGTTTTACTGTAAAAGGCAACCTTGTGAAACACATGCGAGTTCATACGGGAGATAAACTATTTCAGTGTTCCGAGTGTCTGAAAGGGTTTAGTCAGAAAAGCCAGCTTGTGACACACATGCGAGTACATACAGGAGATAAACCATTTCAGTGTACAGATTGTCTGAAATGTTTTACTGAAAAAGGCAGTCTTGGGAAACATATGCAAATTCATACAGGAGAAAAACCATTTCATTGTTCAGAGTGTCTGAAATGTTTTAGTAGAAAAAGTCATCTTGTGAAGCATGTGAGAGTACATACAGGAGATAAACCATTTCAGTGTTCAGATTGTTTGAAATGTTTTACTGAAAAAGGCAGTCTTGTAAAACATATGCTAGTTCATTCAGGACATAAACCATTTCATTGTTCAGAATGTCTGAAATGTTTTGCTCAAAAAGGATATCTTATGAAACATATGCAAGTACACACAGGACATAAACCATTTCAATGTTCAGAGTGTCTGAAATGCTTTACTGTAAAAGGCAGTCTTGTAAAACATATGCTAGTTCATACAGGACATAAACCATTTCAGTGTTCTGATTGTCTAAAATGTTTTAGCTTAAAAAATAATCTTGTGACACATATGAGAATACATACAGGAGTTAAACAATTTCAGTGTTCTGAATGTCTGAAATGTTTTAGTCAAAAAATCAATCTTGTCAATCATATGAGAGTACATACAGGAGATAAACCATTTCAGTGTTCAGAGTGTCTGAAATGTTTTTATGTAAAAGGAAGTCTTGTGAAACATAAGCGAGTTCATACAGGAGATAAACCATTTCAGTGTTCAGAGTGTCTGAAATGTTTTACTCAGAAAGAATTTTTTGTGAAACATTTGCGAGTACATGAAGGAGATAAACCATTCCAGTGTTCAGAATGTCTAAAATGTTTTACTCAGAAAAAATATTTTGTGAAACATATGCAAGTACATAAAGGAGACAAACCATTTCAGTGTTCAGAGTGTCTGAAATGTTTTACTGAAAAAGGCAGTCTTGTGAAACATATGCGAGTTCATACAGGAGATAAACCATTTCAGTGTTCAGATTGTCTGAAATGTTTTAGTTTAAAACACAATCTTGTGAGACATATGAGAGTACATACAGGAGATAAACCATTTCAATGTTCAGAGTGTCTGAAATGTTTTAGTGTGAAAAACAATCTTGTCAGCCATATGAGAGTACATAAAGGAGATAAACCATTTCAGTGTTCAGAGTGTCTGAAATGTTTTCCTGTAAAAGACAGGCTTGTGAAACATATGCGAGTTCATACAGGATATAAACCATTTCAGTGTTCAAATTGTCTGAAATGTTTTAGTTTAAAACACAATCTTGTGACACATTTGAAAGTACATACAAGAGATTAACAATTTTTATGTTCAGAATGTCTGAAATGTTTTAGTGTAAATATCAGTCTTGTCAATCATAATAAGCATGTATGCACCAGGAGAAGAGAGAAGTGTAGAGGAGAGAGAGAGAGATTTTCGAGATGTTAAACGAATGTATAGGAACCTTTGAACTAAGTGAGAAAGTAATTGTGGAAGGGGACCTAAATGCTAAAGTAGGAGAAATAGTTAGAGAGGATGTGGTAGGTAAGTTTGGGGTGCCAGGTGTAAATGATATGGGAGCCCTTTGATTGAACTTTGTATAGAAAGGGGTTTAGTTATAGGTAATACATATTTTAAGAAAAAGAGGATAAAAAAGTATACAAGATATGATGTAGGACGCAGTGACAGTAGTTTGTTGGACTACGTATTAGTAGATAAAAGACTGTTGAGTAGACTTCAGGTTGTACACGTTTATAGAGGGACCACAGATATATCAGATCACTTTTTAGTTGTAGCTGTCGTGAGACTAAAAGGTAGATGGGATACAAGGAAAATAGAAGCAGCAAGTAAGAGAGAGGTGAAGGTTTATAGACTAAAAAAGGAGGGGGTTAGGGAAAGATATAAACAACTATTGGAGGATAGATGGGCTAGTGAGAGTATAGGCAATGGGGTCAAAGATGTATGGGGTAGGTTTAAAAATGTAGTGTTAGTGTGTTCAGCTGAAGTTTGTGGTTACAGTAAAGTGGGTGCAGGGGGGAAGAAGAGCGATTGGTAGAATGATGATGTAAAGAGAGTATTAAGGGAGAAAAAGTTAGCATATGATAGGTTTTTACAAAATAGAAGTGATGCATGGAGAGAAGAGTATATAGAGAGAAAAAGAGAAGTTAAGAGAGTGGTGAAGCAATGTAAAAAGAGAGCAAATGAGAGAGTGGGTGAGATGTTATCAACAAATTTTGTTGAAAATAGAATGTTTTGGAGTGAGATTAACAAGTTGAGGAAGCCTAGGGAACAAATGGATGTCAGTTAAAAATAGGAGAGGAGAGTTATTCAATAGAGAGTTAGAGGTATGGGGAAGATGGAGGGAATATTTTGAGGAATTGTTAAATGTTGATGAAGATAGGGAAGCTGTGATTTCGTGTATAGTGCAAGGAGGAATAACATCTTGTAGGAGTGAGAATGAGCCAGTTGTGAGTGTGGGGGAAGTTCGTGAGGCATTGAGCAGAATGAAAGGGGGTAAGGCAGCTGGGATTGATGGGCTAAAGATAGAAACATTAAAAGCAGGAGGGGATATAGTTTTGGAGTGGTTGGTGCTATTATTTAATAAATGTATGGAAGAGGGTGAGGTACCTAGGGATTGGCAGAGAGTGTGCATAGTTCCTTTGTATAAAGGCAAAGGGGACAAAAGAGAGTGCAAAAATTATTCAAATTCAAATTGAAATTCAAATTTATTTATTTATTTGCAACTAGTACATTGAGATTATGTATTTACAATAATGGGTAGAAGTGCAAAGAGAGCCTCTATTATGCCTAGGCATTATGGGCTTGCTGAATACTTAATACTAAAGAAATTTATCATAGTTGTACAATAGTTCTGTTAATCATAAATGAATCTAATTGTTATGGTTCGAATCTTAATCTTTAGCCAGGTTAGTGTACTCTGTAACAAAACACTTCATAGAATGAGAAGGTACTTCCAAACTTAGAAATGTAAGACACAAATAATAGTTACTCAATCTTTCAAGTTTCTTTTTATTTATAAGCTTAAATGCTTCCTAGATATTCATAAATATCTATTAAATATCACTTTGTCAGAAACTTTCATTCACATAAGAAAACGTTTAAGTGGAATGTACATCATAGACCCCTTCCAGAGACTTTGTCAGTATGGTCACTACATTTGTTAATCATCGAAGAATAGGACAGCTTCCTCATTAATGACATTATTTAAACATGAGTATATACATTGAGAAGGAATACCTTCACCGAGTAACACCCTGGCATAAGGTAAATATCACTTAGAGTTCTGTACTTGACACAGGTCGTCACATCATAATACTGAAGGTAAGTGTATATAGCTGTCCGCAGACTTCACTTCAGACTGTACCTCCAGCCAGTTCAGGAGTTTCTACAACACAATTCTCTATTCAAGTGAGAACTAGGAGGAGTACTAATGGGATTGCTAAGTCAGTGCTCACTGAGTTGGCAGAGAGAGCGAACCGACTCAATACAGTTAATCCCTACATGACATCAACTCACCAAAGGAGGGAGGGTAGAGCAGACTAAACTACCCTCCAAGGATATGTCTTGTTTCAACTCTCAGCCGGCTGTTACCTACCTACCACACTACTAAAAATACGTATATGTACATATATCATACCCGGGTATATTCATAATAATACATATCCCTAAACCAGATAATATTATAAACTAGTGGAATCTTTAATTTAGCTATTATTAAAGAAACCCCAAGTATAATATTAAGTGGATACATATACACACTATATAAGTCAATCTCCAAATGATCTTGGTCATAACACTATATAAACAAAGGATAGATTCATATTTTCAAAAATGCTTTTTATGAAACATGATTCAATTTCAGGTCTCCCTCAACATTCGCGTTTTCAACTTTCGCAGGCTTCACACATTCGCAAATTCCCAACTGCCAAATTCCCAGCTGCCAAATCATATTTAAGTTTACCGCCACGAGTCCTTACTACCCTCCCTCCGACCCCTGCAACTGGCAGCCAGCCCTCCTACCACTGTGTGGTGAGTGTTTTGCTTGTTCATTATTTGCTATTAAACTACAGTATAAATATTGTAAACCCATCCATGACTGCATATTAGAATGGCTATTCGGACAGGTATTGGAAGGTGACATCATGTGTTTACTCTTGAACACAGCAAAGAATCAAACATTTCTGCTACTGCTAATAATAATAATAATATTTTATTATTATTATCACAGTGGCCGATTCCCACCAAGGCAGGGTGGCCCGAAAAAGAAAAACTTTCACCATCATTCACTCCATCACTGTCTTGCCAGAAGGGTGCTTTACACTACAGTTTTTAAACTGCAACATTAACACCCCTCCTTCAGAGTGCAGGCACTGTACTTCCCATCTCCAGGACTCAAGTCCGGCCTGCCGGTTTCCCTGAATCCCTTCATAAATGTTACTTTGCTCACACTCCAACAGCACGTCAAGTATTAAAAACCATTTGTCTCCATTCACTCCTATCAAACACGCTCACGCATGCCTGCTGGAAGTCCAAGCCCCTCGCACACAAAACCTCCTTTACCCCCTCCCTCCAACCTTTCCTAGGCCGACCCCTACCCCGCCTTCCTTCCACTACAGACTGATACACTCTTGAAGTTATTCTATTTAGCTCCATTCTCTCCACATGTCCAAACCGCCTCAACAACCCTTCTTCAGCCCTCTGGACAACAGTTTTGGTAATCCCGCACCTCCTCCTAACTTCCAAACTATGAATTCTCTGCATTATATTCACACCACACATTGCCCTCAGACATGACATCTCCACTGCCTCCAGCCTTCTCCTCGCTGCAACATTCATCACCCATGCTTCACACCCATATAAGAGCGTTGGTAAAACTATACTCTCATACATTCCCCTCTTTGCCTCCAAGGACAAAGTTCTTTGTCTCCACAGACTCGTAAGTGCACCACTCACCCTTTTCCCCTCATCAGTTCTATGATTCACCTCATCTTTCATAGACCCATCCGCTGACACGTCCACTCCCAAATATCTGAATACATTCACCTCCTCCATACTCTCTCCCTCCAATCTGATATCCAATCTTTCATCACCTAATCTTTTTGTTATCCTCATAACCTTACTCTTTCCTGTATTCACTTTCAATTTTCTTCTTTTGCACACCCTACCAAATTCATCCACCAATCTCTGCAACTTCTCTTCAGAATCCCTCAAGAGCACAGTGTCATCAGCAAAGAGCAACTGTGACAACTCCCACTTTATGTGTGATTCTTTATCTTTTAACTCCACGCCTCTTGCCAAGACCCTCGCATTTACTTCTCTTTCAACCCCATCTATAAATATATTAAACAACCACGGTGACATCACACATTCTTGCCTAAGGCCTACTTTTACTGGGAAATAATTTCCCTCTTTCCTACATACTCTAACTTGAGCCTCACTATCCTCGTAAAAACTCTTCACTACTTTCAGTAACCTACCTCCTACACCATACACCTGCAACATCTGCCACATTGCCCCCCTATCCACCCTGTCATACGCCTTTTCCAAATCCATAAATGCCACAAAGACCTCTTAGCCTTATCTAAATACTGTTCACTTATATGTTTCACTGTAAACACCTGGTCCACACACCCCCTACCTTTCCTAAAGCCTCATTGTTCATCTGCTATCCTATTCTCCGTCTTACTCTTAATTCTTTCAATAATAACTCTACCATACACTTTGCCAGGTATACTCAACAGACTTATCCCCCTATAATTTTTGCACTCTCTTTTATCCCCTTTGCCTTTATACAAAGGAACTATGCATGCTCTCTGCCAATCCCTAGGTACCTTACCCTCATCCATACATTTATTAAATAATTGCACCAACCACTCCAAAACTATATCACCACCTGCTTTTAACATCTCTATCTTTATCCCATCAATCCCGGCTGCCTTACCCCCTTTCATTTTACCTACTGCCTCACAAACTTCCCCCACACTCACAACTGGCTCTTCCTCACTCCTACAAGATGCTGTTCCTCCTTGCCCTATACACGAAATCACAGCTTCCCTATCTTCATCAACATTTAACAATTCCTCAAAATATTCCCTCCATCTTCCCAATACCTCTAACTCTCCATTTAATAACTCTCCTCTCCTATTTTTAACTGACAAATCCATTTGTTTTCTAGGCTTTCTTAACTTGTTAATCTCACTCCAAAACTTTTTCTTATTTTCAACAAAATTTGTTGATAACATCTCACCCACTCTCTCATTTGCTCTCTTTTTACATTGCTTCACCACTCTCTTAACCTCTCTCTTTTTCTCCATATACTCTTCCCTCCTTTCATCACTTCTACTTTGTAAAAACTTCTCATATGCTAACTTTTTCTCCCTTACTACTCTCTTCACATTATCATTCCACCAATCGCTCCTCTTCCCTCCCGCACCCACTTTCCTGTAACCACAAACTTCTGCTGAACACTCTAACACTACATTTTTAAACCTACCCCATACCTCTTCGACCCCATTGCCTATGCTCTCATTAGCCCATCTATCCTCCAATAGCTGTTTATATCTTACCCTAACTGCCACCTCTTTTAGTTTATAAACCTTCACCTCTCTCTTCCCTGATGCTTCTATTCTCCTTGTATCCCATCTACCTTTTACTCTCAGTGTAGCTACAACTAGAAAGTGATCTGATATATCTGTGGCCCCTCTATAAACATGTACATCCTGAAGTCTACTCAACAGTCTTTTATCTACCAATACATAATCCAACAAACTCCTGTCATTTCGCCCTACATCATATCTTGTATACTTATTTATCCTCTTTTTCTTAAAATATGTATTACCTATAACTAAACCCCTTTCTATACAAAGTTCAATCAAAGGGCTCCCATTATCATTTACACCTGGCACCCCAAACTTACCTACCACACCCTCTCTAAAAGTTTCTCCTAATATAATAATAATAATAATGATAATAAATACGATAGAATTGAAGAAGGAAATTGTACAAAAATACGAGGGCTGAAGCAGTGGTGGAGGAAGTGGTTGACACATCGTCAGTGTGGCTTTGTTTATGCTGGAGTGAGTATTAGTCTCCGTGCTCTTCCAAACATTTCACAATAATTCATTGTATTTGGTGCTTGTAGATTGTGACTGGAGTGGTTGAGGCAGTGGTAGAGGCAGTGGGTGAGGCAGTGGGTGAGGCAGTGGGTGAGGCAGTGGTAGAGGCAGTGGGTGAGGCAGTGGTAGAGGCAGTGGGTGAGGCAGTGGTAGAGGCAGTGGGTGAGGCAGTGGTAGAGGCAGTGGGTGAGGCAGTGGTATTTACTAACATATATGTTATAAATAATAATAGTACATGTTAATATTAATAACATTTATAATAATAATAATAAATGTTATTCATAATGTACTATTATTATTTATAACATATATGTTAGTAAATATCACTGCCTCTATCACTGCCTCTACCACTGTCTCACCCACTGCCTCTACCACTGCCTCTACCACTGCCTCACCCACTGCCTCTACCATTGCCTCACCCACTGCCTCACCCACTGCCTCATCCACTGCCTCACCCACTGCCTCTACCACTGCCTCTACCACTGCCTCTACCACTGCCTCTACCACTGCCTCTATCACTGCCTCTACCACTGCCTCAACCACTCCAGTCACAATCTACAAGCACCAAATACAATGAATTATTGTGAAATGTTTGGAAGAGCACGGAGACTAATACTCACTCCAGCGTAAACAAAGCCACAGTGACGATGTGTCAACCACTTCCTCCACCACTGCTTCAGCCCTCGTATTTTTGTTCAATTTCCTTCTTCAATTCTATCGTATTTATTATTATTATTATTTTTATATTATTATTATTATTATTATTATTATATTATTATTATCATCATTGTTATTATTATTATTATTATTATTATTATTATTATTATTATTATTATTATTATTATTATTATTA